CAAGTGTTTAAGCATGTTTGTCGCATATACAGCATGCATTTTGGTTGAAAAAATTGATACATCTTTTTACCTCACAATTCTATTAAGGTCCAAGTGTCAAATCATGTATTTTAATTTCATACACTAACTATTTCGGAATTATGTTGGTATTTTTCAGGTAAAATTATTGTCCTTAATCATAAGACGTACAGTTTTGGGGTTTTGCTGTGTTTAAACAAACAAACATCGTTCTACGTAGCTTAGTATCTGACTGATGGCTGTTCATTAGATTCGATATCGGCATTTTTCAGAAGCGCGCATAATACTGAATCTTAACCGCCCTCATGCAACAACATTTGTATAACTGCAATTGATGCATTGTCCAAATCACAGAAAATACATCAACACAGCTATTAAATGTAGACACTAACGAAATGTATTTACAAGGTAGTTCAGCTTAATATAGATTTGCAGAACTGGCGGTTACCATGCAGGTTAGAAGACATTAATGTTTGGAAGTAATGGCTTTAATGGCTTGCAAAAACAAAAATTGCTGAAACAAATCTTTTTTTGTCTTTTTTTATTTATTGCTTTTATATTCGTGACAAAAAATAAACTCTTATTATTCCTGTTTGAGTGGATTATTTGAAAATATGCGTAACGAGTTTCCTTCTTTGGAAAATACATTGTCACCAAATGTAGCGAACCCTACTGTTGGGTAAATCTCGGATTATTACACTATAACCATTTGCTACACAACCACAATTTAGAAGGAAGATATTGTTTTTTAATATTGTTCAGGCTGAAACACATAAACCGTAGGAGAAACTTGAATGTATTTTCGGTATACTCTTTAAGTCGTTCGCTCAAATTTCACTGGGACTCATTTGTGCACCTATTCTCACGTACGCGGGCAAGAGTATTGGGAACAATAACAGTGGTAACAAATTGTGTCAAGTCAACTAATTAGAATTTTCCCTACACAAAAACTTATGTGTACATAAACATGCATGAAATGTATCTTGGTTAGCTAATCCTGATTTTTTCACCAGGGCCATTTTTGCCTTTTTCAGTTATCAAATTCCGCGGACTATGTAAGTGCACTCTTCTATGAATTCGGTCAACTGCAGTCGCCATGCATGCAATAAGTGCATAGTTTATCATGGTCGACATGAAACTAAAGAACTGAATCAAACTAATGAATAGAATCCATCTGCTGTCGTCCAAAACATTCTCAGAATAATACCGTAAAGATATCCTTCTTTGCTTAATTTCAGGATTACTAGCGATCCTGCCTCCAACTCGTACGTAATTCGTAGTAGGCTAATGGGTGACTAAATCACAAAACACCTAATTTGTAGTGGTTGGATTGTATCCTCACTAGAAAGCTACTTTGGAGCTGGATGAAAGATGTGTCTGAGCAACACCCCGATTTTCACTTGAGCACGTCGACATAGTTGCACAATCATATCGGAAACTAGGTTGTATGGATGGTATGAAAACTCGCAAGAAACGGTCGCTATGAAAGTACCGAAAACGTATGAAAAGTAATGCTTAAACAATAATGCATTTTCAACGAGCATCGACGATATCTTACCAGTTTTATTGCTGCTACGACACTTTCGGACCCGTTACAGACTCAGATTGCACTTTTAAATTCGAAAATACATTATATTTTCATCAGGCGAATACATGTATAAAACTAGTCAAATCATTGCAATAGGCTATGAAAGCTCGGCGATTGTTGATCAAGTTCATACAGACTGCATTGTTCGCCGATATGACTCTCCAACCTACGGTGATAGTCCTACATAGGCATATATATATATATATATATATATATATATATATATATGCACACAAAACAAGATAAGGACAACTGCCTGACCATTTGCGAATGGACTGAGCGTTGCCCACACTGGGACCACGGCCACCGTAGCAGAAGGATTTGCAATATGGTCCTCTGGTTGCACAGTTCAGGTTGCATTAGCCTGATCACTATGGCGTCGGCCATTCTTAGAAGGCGTTTGCTAAGTCCTTTTGTGTAGTGGTTTGACACGACTTAGAAAACATTGAAAGCTTCCAAATTGACTTGGGATAAGGCTGTGGAATTAGCTCGCCTCAAAACATGTACGGCCGAACAGTTGCGATGTTTCGCCACCCACGCAGACATACAGGAGGTTTCCAAGATCCATCGCTCGCCAACTGAATTCCAATCCCCACAAAAATGCTTCCGCTGCGGCAGCCTACAGCATAAAGCCAATTTTACTAAGTGCCCTGCCTTGGAAATGGATTGTAAAAAGTGCGGTAAGAGAGGACATTTTGCTCGTTGTTGTCGTTCAGCACGCATTTCTCAGTTGAATCCTACAGATTCCGTTTCTAATCAACAGTTACAGTCCTCTGAAAATGTATTTTCCTTTGATAACAGAAGTACTGTGTCTAACTATCGTTCCAATTGTCCAGAGCCTAAACTACCTATGCCTGACATTCGTACTGTTACAGTTATTGCACACGATAGAATAGCACATGTTGACATGGAACTTGATTCAGCCTCTCCTATCACTATAGTACCGAGTAGTTTTATGACATTCACCTGTGCACCAGTTTATACCATAGATACAAGCATTTTTGTCATCTCACCTTACCACCATATTTTTTACGTGCATTTCACTGCACAAAGCCTGTGTGATTTTGCATACCCGTGTGCCTAGTGACGCACCACCCAAACCCGCTGACCGGAGCAGACAACCGACGCAGCCAAACGACGTGATCAGCGCAATCTAAAAGTGCATACCGACCATTGATCCATGGACCGGAGAAGTTTGTCAACCGGGAATTCAGTGAGCAACAAAGCTAAGGTCAACCGGGGCTCAGACAAGCAGGGAACTGAGATCCGCTCGAAAATCACGTGTTCGTTCTGTGCCAATTCATATGACGCGACAAATGTGAACATTACACTTAACGAAGCTAACGGCGTATCGACAGATAGCTTGTGGTTTTGTGACATATGTTCAAATAGTCCGATAATTAAGATTGTTCAAAAACTTACGATAAGGTGTGAAGCATTGACTATTACGTCTGCAGACCAAAAGTAACTGATCGCAGCATTGGGAGGGAAAATCTCAGAACTCGAGTTGCAGATTAGTGCATTACGTAGCCCGAATCCCCGACCTGTTAAAAGGCAAAAGCTCTCTAGCAAAAGTGCTACCCAGTCCAGCGAAAGGCAAACACCGTTAGTGAAAAACAGCAGTGAAAACATGACGCTTGAACGGTACCCCAAGTCTCACGTAATGCGCCAAAGCATGCAGAGTTACGCACAAATTGCATGCTCACCTCCGTCAGTAGCTGGTCAACAACAATTGACCCCTACAGATAGCGCAACTAACGGCGTTGCACGTAAAAAGTCTTGCTGTAGCCTTGGCGTATTGTCCACGGAAGACAAGCCAGACACCCCCACTCGACAAATCTACGCTCACAGGGAACTGCAGAACAAACAATTACAACGCAACCAAAAGGCGATGACAGTAATATGTTCAAACATCCCAGAACCCACTAGCGAATCGTTAAAAGGTAGACAAGCCGAGAAGCAAAACCGGTGGGCTGAAATAACCAGCGCACTCGGACTGAAACTTCTCCCAACTAGTCTTACACGACTTTCACGAAATCCATCATCTCCACACTTAGGGGAACCTCGGTTACTGCGAGTAACGTTTGGCAACACGCGTGACCTGGAAGATGTTCTCTTAGCAAGCCACATGCTAGTGAACTCTTCTGTCAGTGCCCGCATTTTTCCTGACAGGCCATGGGCAGAAAGACAGAAGCATAAATCCAACCCTAGTTCGTCACGTCAAAATGAGATGAAGAAAGTGGTACTGGTTCATGGTGTGCCAGAATTGAAGCATGACGATAGCAGTGAACGACAGAAGCACGACATGGAAGAATGGCGGTACATCACAGAACTATACGACATGCAGAATGTCGTGGCTTTTGACGTCACCCGTCTAACTGCTTCCACGAACTACCAAGGTAGCGGGCCACGAATTTTGAAAGTTACCTTGGCTGCGCCTGAAATGGTATCAGTGGCAATCCAAGCATGGCATGACAAAAGGAAACTTGGGCCACCAGAAGTACGGTTAAGACCATTTCTTCAATTAGCACAGACCTCAGATACAGATGAGCCAGCCTCAATTGTACCCATCCGAAACCAGCCAACTGTGCAAACAACCGTTTCAAAAAACTTCAGCAGACCGGCACTATTTGCGCCGGTCACTCACAGCGAGCAGAGCTCCTGATGCGTCAACAAATAAAATTCTGCTACACCAACACTCAGGGGTTGTACTCTAAGCTCTCGGTGCTGCGCCACCGACATGAAACGACAACTTGGGACCTCATAGCAGTCACTGAAACTTGGCTCTCAAACGACATACTTGATCCGGAGATTGAACTCAATAAGATGTCAGTCATACGAAATGATCGTCCATCTCGCGGGGGCGGTGTTGCTCTCTACTATCGAGATTATCTGAAATGTGAGGCACTTACCGAAAATTCCCTCGTTATTCCCGACGCATTATTTTGCCGACTGCACCTAGCAGGTCGAGATGTTGTTTCACAGAAGAAGAGTGATGCTTGCCTCTTAGCAGTTATTTATAGACCTCCGAACTCATCAGCAGACAGCGATAACATTCTGTTAAACGCCCTCTGTTATGCTGTTTCACAAAAGTACTCTCACTATCTTATAATGGGTGACTTTAATGTTCCTTCAATAGCATCAATGTCCCCTAATGGGCCATCATTCAAATCGAAACTCCTCGAATTTATGGATATGGCAGTTTTGTATAACCATGTGCATCGACCAACCAGACATCGCGGTTCAAACAAGCCATCACTCCTGGACTTAATCCTGACTAATGAAGAGTTGATGGTTGAGTCAGTAGCATACGATCCTCCACTGGGCCGTAGCGACCATTCAGTCCTAACATTCGGTTATGTATATTATGCCAGTATTGTTGCTACAGAAAGTGAGACTCAACGAACTATTTCGGACTATTATAAGCTGCGCAGCTTAGCAGCAACCGTTGACTGGGACGTACAGACGCACAGCTCAGCGAATGACGCATGGATGAATTGAAAGACAAAATTAACTGGGTCATACAATCAGCATCGAAGGTTGTACCATTACGAGCATCGCGCCGGACCAATACGTAAATCCGGAGCAGAACACGTAAATGGATCAACAGAAGAGATGAAATCTGGATGCAACATTTGCTAAGCCCATGTGATATCACATGGCAGGATTACAAAGTCATCAGAAACTACTGCACGTCACTCATTAGAGTCGATAAGTACGAATGGCAGGAGAATATGGTGCTGAAATTTACGAGTAACACCAAACTGCTCTACAGATTTGTGAATGGCAAAAGAAAGGTTAAGCCCGGAATACCACCACTCAGGAAGGCCAATGGCCTAACAACTACTGCTGTGGATGCCGCGAATGCTCTACTCTTGCAGTTTGGCTCGGTAGCTACAAATGTCATGGAACCTTCGCCCTATCAACTCCCAACAAATGTCGTTGGCTTATCCAGCGTCACGTTTACTCCAGCAGCTGTTGCAAGCAAGCTACAGTCTCTCCGGGAGTACATTGCCCCTGGAATCGACATGATCTGCCCAAAAGTACTAAAAAACCCTTGCCCCCACAATAGCAACACCACTTGCAACCATTTTCCAGTGTCTGCTTAACTCCCATACACTCCCATCTGAGTGGAAAAATGGAATTATCACTCCGATATATAAAGGAGGTAAGCGCTCGGATCCTGCTAACTACCGACCTATTACTCTCCTTCCTGTTTTGTCAAAAGTTATGGAATCGGTAATCGCAGATGAACTGACGAGATACTTTGAAAGTCAACAGATAATTTCTAATGCTCAACACGGGTTCCGACGCAGACGATCTTGTCTCACCAATTTGCTGATTACTCGGGACTTATGGACCAGGGCGGCTGATGAAGGAGTACCCATAGATGTGATATACCTGGATTTTTCTAAAGCATTCGACAGGGTCAATCACTTCTTTCTCGTCCAAAAGCTTGCTGCCTAC